GGGCGCCAGCACGGGTGTCTGGGGTCTCCGCCGCTCCCGGGGCCGCCCCCCTCCGTGGCTGGCCGGGACTGGGTTTCCCCGCGCGCGCGTGGGGTGGTGACCCGGCGACGGGCCGGCCTGGCTGGGCTGGGGCTGTTGGGGATGGCGGCTGAGGGGGAGCGGCGGGGAGCCGCGCCGGCGGGCGGGGGTCGCAGCACGGAGGCCGGGCGGCGCTGTGTGGCCTCTTTGTGCTGGCGGCCGGCGGCGCAGGTCGTGGGCCGTGTGCACGCGCGGGGAATGTGCTGCGGCGGCGATTCCTCCCCATTCTTTCCCGGCCGCTCCTCCCCGACCTCGCTTCCGCCGCGGCTCGCGCCGGGGGCGCCGGGGGCGCCGGGGGCGTGGGGCGCGGGCCGGGCTTCGGAGGCCCAACGCGGGGAAGCGCCGGCCCTGCTGCCAGCGCGCGCGCTCGACGGCGGAGCCCGCGTCTTGGCGCCCCCAGCCCCGTCCCCCGACGTGACCCGGCCCGCGGGAGGCCTCTGTGGCCCGGCCTGCCCACCCACGCCGCCAGCCTCCTCGCCGGCTAGAACTTGGCACCCGGGAGAGCCAGACTCCACGCCCAGGGCCCGGGCGCGGGCACCAGGCCGCGGGAGCCCGAGGAGGCAGCACGGCGGCAGGCAGGCCCTGGTTTGGACGCTCCAGTGTCGTGTGTGTGTGTGTGTGTGTGTGTGTGTGTGTGTGTGTGTGTGTGTGTGTGTGTGTGTGTGTGTGTGTGTGTCTGCTGGTTCTGGGACTTGAATTCAGGGCCCTGGTGCTCTCTGTCTGCTGCTTCTGGGACTTGAATTCAGGGCCCGCGCACACTGTGTGTGTGTGTGTGTGTGTGTGTGTGTGTGTGTGTGTGTGTGTGTGTGTGTGTGTATGTTCTGCTTCTGGGACTTGAACTCAGGGCCCGGGTGCTGTCTGTCTGTCTGCTGGTCCTGGACTTGAACTCAGGGCCCGGGTGCTGTCTGTCTGTCTGCTGGTTCTGGGACTTGAACTCAGGGCCCGGGTGCTGTCTGTCTGTCTGCTGGTCCTGGACTTGAACTCAGGACCTGGTCTATCCCTGGAGCCACAGCTCCACTTCTGGCCTTTTGGTGACTAATAGGAGATGAGAGTCTCCCAGGCTTTTCCGCCCCGGCTGGCTTCGAACCACGACCCTCAGGCCTTAGGCTGCTAGGTAGCTGGGTGAGTGGCGTGAGCGACCCGCACCCGGGTCGTTCTCGAGGGCAGAGATGTCCACCCGAAGCCTCCCGGGGAGGAGGCGGGGGCAGGTTTTACCCCAGCCTGGTGCGTGGCTTCCTCTTCTGACCTCGGAGCCCCTCGCCCCCCCCCCCGCCCTCCCTCCCCGAAGCACCCGGGGACCGGGGACAGGACTGGGAAAGGCGCGGGCTTCCCCGTCCCGCGCGTCCCGGCTTCCAGTCGCGGTCGGAGCCTGCACAAGACCGCGGGCCGCGCCGCGTGCGCAGACGGTTAGTTCATGGAAACGCGGCGGATGGGTTTTAGTGCACCCGGTCGGGAGGGGAGGGGGTAGGGGGAAGGAAGGTGGAGGGGGACAGTGGAGGGGGGGCAGGTGGGGGCGGGAGGGTCGACCCAGCCTGCGGTTCGGTGAAGGAGATGGGCGGCCCCGCCCTCTCGCCCGCCCCGCGGCTCCGAATTCGGAAGGATTCCTGGATGAAAGCAAACCGCGGGGACCGGGGAAGCCGCGCGCGCGCGCCCGCCCCGCCCAGCCCGCGCCGAGCCCGCCGCGGCCCTTGGCACGGACCCCGGCCGCGGCCGGCGCCCCTCTCCCCTTCCCTCCTCCGTCCCCGCCCCCGACGGGGCCGCCGCGCGAGGACGGCGCTCGCCACCTCACGCCGCAGGAATGCTCGAAGTATGCACACGTTCCCCACAGCAGAGCTGCTCACCGCCGGGGCGCATACATCACCCCGTGGCACCCGTCCACCTTCCCAGGCGTTTCGTAACCCAGTAAACTGAGCGCCGGGAACGGCCCTCCGTTAAGTAGCCCGTGGCGCGGAGTCTCATCCCACTCGGCGAAGGCAGCCGCCCCGGACGCGTCTGGCCGCGCTCCGGTGCTCCTGGCGCGGCGCTCCTCCTCCCGCGGCGGCTCGGCCTCCGCCCGCGATCCTCCGCCTCCCGGGCCTCCGCCGCCTCCTGGCTCCTAGTCGCCGTCGGCGCCCGCGCCCGCCTGGAGCAACCCCCATCCTCGCCCCCGGAGCGCACGGGGTCCCGCCGATCTTGCTCGAGCGATCGCGGGCTCCGGACGGACCTCCATCGCCTGTCGTCTCAGGTCAGTCCTCAGGGTCCCCGACTCCCCCTCAAAGACGAGGAGAGACACTTAGCTTCTAAGCACCTCCACGGGGCAGGTCCTGGGAGGGGACACGTGTGAGGTCTGCGGGGATGTGCGCGCGCGTGTGCGTGATCGCGCCGGGCTCGTGGGGATCCGCGGGCGAAGGACCGGTGGCTCTTCTTCAACAGTGGATGCCCGGGGCTGGGGGCGCGCGGGCCCGTGATGGCCACCGCGCATGGAGGACTTGCATCCACAGATGCTGCATGGGGAGAAGAGAACGAGCGATGCTCCCCGCACGGTGCTCGGTCCCCCAGCCGCGCGGGGCGAGCTGGGACGCAGGGGGAGGGTGCCAGGACCCCGCAGGGCAAGCGGGGCGCGGGCGGCTCCGCATCCCGCCTTCGCGGCGGCGTCTGGAGACAGGGACTGGGGTCTTTCGGTGTGTGCGCGCGTGTGCCTATGGACGTGTGCATGAGTGCACGCGCGTGTGCGCGCGCGTGGGTCGGGTCCCGCTCCCCCTTGCCCCGGGCGCGTCTGGGTGGGGCTGGCCGGCTCTTTCTGGAGAAAGCCCCATCCCCAACCTGAGGGGCTGGACCCGGCTTTCAGAGCCTTGCCTGTGACTCCTGTAATCCCGGGGACACAGCGGGCGGGGAGCGCGCCCGGGCTGAGGTCAAGGTCGTGGTGCGCGGAGCAATTCGGCGGAGCGTAGATCTGCAGGGATCCCGCGCCTGTGTGCGCGCGCGCGCGCGGCCCGGACCGCAGCTCGGCGGCTAGGCGCCCGGGCTCCCCCGCGCCCCCCGCGCGCCGGTGGCGGCCGCCTGGTCATTCATGAGGCCGAGCGGAGGGAAATCCGCGCTGCCACGTAGGGCGGCCGCCCCCGGCCGCGGGCCGCGAAGGCTCAATGGAGCGTTGCTAAGCATTCGGATAAATGTTTTGGCTCCAAAGGACTTCTTTTCTTAAACATATACGGGTGGAATGCCCGGCCGGCGGGTCACCCCGACGCCAGGACGCGCGCGGTGCCGGCCCGGCCGCCGCCGACAGGGGGCGCCCGAGACCGGAGTGAACGCGTCGGTGCTGTAGGCTTCTGCGGAGCGTTTGTTCTTTAATTTGCTCGCCGCATTTTGGGGGGTGTCAGCTCTTAAGTCTTCGTGAGCACAACGGCCAAGTGAGTTGGAAATTATTATAGCAAAGTTAAGGCCAGAACAATGGCCTAGTCTCACCTCTTGCCTTTTTACTCATGGAGGAGAAATGTCAAACAGTTGTTAATTAGGAAGAAAAAAAATTGATTAAAAAAAAAAAAGAACAGCTCTTGGATTCCCAGAGGAGTGCCAAAAATTTTAATCTTGGCTTCATAAAAATAGGAGCTCGGGGCAATTTGGCAAGCCTGTTCATCAGACATTTAAAATATAATTTATACTCCGTGTGTGTGTGTGTGTGTGTGTGTGTGTGTGTGTGTGTGTGTAGCTTTCCTAATGCATTGTGCCAATAATTGGACAAAGATTGTTGGAGATTGTCAGGTTCTTTTCTCCGGGGGGAGGGGGGACTCAACCTTTGGCTTGGTTTTTGGATTTCCAAGACCTTGTCCTTTTCTCCACTCCATTTTTCACGAGGCCTAGACTGTTGCCTTAGAATAATCTTTGTTATCATGGAATCCACTCTCTCTTTAGCTTTTGCCATTGGCAGCTTTCCAGATCATTTCCCTGCTGGTAGCGTTTGTCTCCAGATTGGACCCTAGAATTCTTTAGGCAGTTCCAGTCTGCTCATTCAACACCTACTGTGTGTTGGCAAACTAGAAGAGATTAATAATAATAAAGTCTTTAAGGAATGAATTTTGTAGTTACAGAATCAGTAGCAATTGAAATAGAACACACTCTTCTTGAAAGCCTATGAAGGTAGTCTGGCAGAAGAAACCAAAAGTTAAATGCAGAGATTACTTGTTATGCTTGCTTTTTTTTTTTTTTTGTTTATTAAACAGTTTTGGAAAACAGTCAAGAAGTGGTCTGTCTTTCCTGCTTTGTCTCTTTTTAACGGGTGCTTTCTCCTGTGGGGTAAAAGATGGATCAGATGTGAGATGACATTGCAAGCATTCACCGGGCCTTACATATTTCCATATAATCCAGTTCAGACCTTAAAGAGCTTGCTATTTGTAGGCAGACCTTAATGAGGGAAAAGAAAGGGAGTAAAGGAGGTTTATTATACTTTTCCAAATTACCCCGAGACCACTGAAGTTCAGTTCCTTGAAGAGTTTAGCAGCTAGGAAAAGCCAAATGACATCTCCAGCTGGAAGAGACATTGAGTTGAGTCAGGAATACAATGACCTCGGAATTGGCCATCACCCGGTCTGGATGAAGTCATGTGTTTTTTTTTGGGGGGGGGGTGAAGAACCGAAGGCCTTCCCCGGATGCAGGACCAGCCCCCCATCCCCCACCCCCGAAAAACAGGACCCTCTTTAAACTTGAGCTCCCTCCTCGTGGCTGGATTAAACTTGGGTAGATGACCTTGCTGTTAGGCTTCCACAATGGCCCCATTGTGGGCTGGGCCCCGGGGTCCTGAAGGCTGCTCTGGCTGAGGCCCCGGGCCGCGGCCAGTTCCACATCTAAGCCGGTCCCCGGTTTGTCCGGACCCAGGGGGCTCTGACTCCGTCCCTGCCCGCGCCCCGCAGGTCCTTGGATGAGGCTGTGAGCTCCGAGGCCCGCCGAGCATGGGGACCACGCTGCCCGCCGCGCTAGCTGCCCTGGGCGCTGCCCTGCTCCTGTCTTCCATCCAGGCAGAAGGTAAAGATTTGCTCTTGCTCCCTTCTCCAGGGGTTCGGCGTAATTCCAGCCAGGACAACCCCCTCCTCCCTTCCCCCTGTCCTGCGTCTGTGGCTTGCTGTGTGTGCTCTGATCTCTTGCTCTTCCTCGGGGAGAACCGCTCCCTCCTCCAGCTCTCAGGTCCAGCTCCTTTGTGTTCTGCTTAATCCGTTCCCTGTGTGTGGTTTCCCTGGCCTTTTTGTCTATGCGGTGTGCTGTCCACACTGCCACCCTCCTGCCCGGCCCCCCGCGCCGGCCTCCGGGAGAGGCGATCGCCACCCCAGCGCCAGTGCCACCGGCCCGCCCCGAGGAGTGGACGCGGGGACACGGCTGCGCCTGCCGCCTGGGACCACTGGGGACCACCGGGGACCACGTGGAATAAAAGACTCCAACAGCGCGAGCTCCGCCTCCGTCTGCTTTGTGGGGAGCCCTGGGGCTGGGCCAAGGAGCCGGGGGCCAGCAGAGGGCAGCCCCGGGGCAATCAAAATACACCAAGAGGTGTGTGTGTGTGTGTGTGTGTGTGTGTGTGTGTGTGCACGTGTGTGCACATGTGCATGTGTGTTGCCACTGGGCCTTAAACTCAGGGCCAGGGCACCCTCCTAATTTCTTTTTCCACACAAGGGGCTCTCTACCACTTGAGCCACAGCTCCACTTCTGGCTTTTTGGTGGTTCATGGGAGATAAGAGTCTCCTAGATTTCCCTGCCCCTGATGGCTTTGCAATTGAGATCTTCAAATCTCAACCTAGGAAGCAGCTTAGAATTTCAAGCATTTGTCACAGAGGCCCAGCTGAAAACATACATAAAAAACAAACAAACAACCTTTAACCCAACTTTTGGTTGAATCTTGTGTGAGCGTTTGATGTTTTAATTTCCCCATTTTAAATGGAATCATCCATTTTAATATATTGATTAATTTCATGGAGAGGTTGGCAATTATCATTGGAGAATGATACAGTAGTCTGATTCTACAAGATCAATGAGGTCATTCTATAAAAGACATTATCTATCTATCTATCTATCTATCTATCTATCTATCTATCTATCTATCTATCTATCTATCATATCTGCCTGCCTATATGTATGTATGTATGTATGTATCTGTCTGTCTCATCTGTGTATCTATGTATCTCTATCTATCATATCTGTCTCTTATCTCCATCTGTCCTATATCTATCTATCTATCGATCTATCTGTTTTTCACTTTTTTTTGTTTTTTTTTGGGGGGGGGTCCGGTCGTAGGGCCTGGGCGCTGTCCCTCAGCAATTCAGCTCAGGGCTAGCACTCTACCACTTGAGCCACAACGCCACTTCCGGCTTTTTTCTTTTTTCTTATGTGGTGCTGAGGAATCGAACCCAGGGCCTCATGCATGCAAGGCAAGCGCTCTACCACTGAGCCACCTTCCCAGCCCCTATTTGTTTTTCATTTAAAAGTGAAGTTAAATGAGAACTTCCTCAGGTGATTTACCAGTGCAAGGGTAGGTTGTGCTTTTTTGAGGGACATGAGAAGGTAGAGGTATCTCATGATAATGCAGTTTTTTTGTTTGTTTGTTTTGGTCCTTATAGCCCGGCTTGAACTCAGGGCCTTTAGCTTCCTGTGTGGCTTTTTTGCTCAAGGCTGTCCCTCTACAGTTTAAATCACTTCTATTGTGTCTGGGGTGGCACTGAACCATGATCCCCAGATCTTAGCCTTCTAAGTAGCCAGGGTTACAGGTCCCAGCAACACTGAAAATTTCAAATACTTTGGAGCTACAGGTATAGAAAGTTAAGATTGGGAAAATCAGTCTCCAAAATGTGTGGTATGTTTAGAAAAGTGTTATTAATTTTCTGCGAATGTCGAGGCTTTTCTGAGTGGTGTGGGTGAAGTGTTATTGAGACAAGAAAGCGTTTCAGTGTCGTTGTTAGGAAGGAATTTTATTTGAGGAACTTCTGGAAGGGCTACTAGAGATATTTTTAGCTAATTCATTGAAGTGGTTCATTTATTGCTCATTAAGAAAATAGTTACTTGATTTGAGAATTCTTAGGAAAAGAATTAGGTTGGAAATGATTGAAGTGGAAAAAATTGTGGATTGGATAATGGCTACTTAGCTACTTTGCTATCTACATTATTTATTAAATTTGTAATAATTTACATATGGATAGTTCTTTCTTTGACTTTCTCAATCTGTTTCTTCTCTTGTCTTTCATTTCCTTAGGTCAGGATGTTTTAATAGGCTTCATTTTTTTTTGGGTGGGGGTAGGGCTTTATTTTCTAGTTTGGCCACCAAGCAGAAATATGAGCCACATATATAACTTGGATTTTCTTTTTTCCTTTTTCTGGTGCCAGTACTGAAGCTCAGACTCAGGTCCTTGAGCTTTCTTTTCTCTCTCTTTCTTTCTTTCTCTCTCTTTCTCCCTCCCTCCCTCCTTTCCTTCCTTCCTTCCTCCTTCTTCGCCAGTCCTGGAGCTTGAACTCAGGGCCTGGGCACTGTCTCTGAGCTTCTTTTGCTCAAGGCTAGCACTCTATCACTTGAGCCACAGTGCCACTTCTGGCTTTTTCTGTTTATGTGGTACTGAGGAATCAAACCTAGGGATTCATGCATACTAGGCAAGCACTCTACCACTAAGCCACACTCTGAGCCCATCCTTGAGCATTCCTTTGGCATTTTCCTCTCAAGGCTGGTGTTCTGCCACTTGTACCACTCCTCTACTTCCTGCTTTTTGCTGGTTAATTGGAGATAAGAGTCTCAAGGACTTTCTGCCCAGACTGGCTTCAAATCTGAATCCTCCTGTGGAGCTAGGATTTATAGATATGAGCCAGCAGGGCCCGGCAGAAATTTTCTTATTGTCACACTAAATAAGCAAAAAGGAAGAGAGGAAAATAAAATTTGTAATATATTTTATTTAACTAAATATTATTTCAATATGAAAGGAATCTAAAAATGATTAGTGGAGATATTTTGCATTTTTTTTGTGCTAGCATTTTTGAAACGGGGTGTGGATTTTATACTTGCAACACATTTTATTTTGGACTAGCTACAGTTCAAGTGTCCACATGTGTCTGGCTGCTTTCTTGCTGAACAGCACAGCTCTGGTGTTAACTACCAGTTAAGTGGCCAGGAACTTGGGAAGGATGAAGAAAATTTGTGGCCAAAACCTTTCTGGGGACAATGGACTGGTAAGAATTTTCCTGAAATCTTTCTGGTGGGGACACTTGAAAATTGAAACTTGGGTCTCTGTTTGGTACTATGCCAGTTAGACCTTAGTCCTCAAGTACAAATAATTACTTTTTCTTTTCCATGAGTCATACGTCACTCTTAAATTCATACCATCTCACTACTTCCTATTTGTTATTATATTTTATATACTGACAACTCAATACTTTTTGTTTTGGTATTCATTGAAAGGTTTTGGCATTCCCTCTTTTCTTTAAAAAGATAGTGATAGCTTTTTGTTCTATCTTTAAAAAAAATGATTATTATAAAGGTGATGTACAGAGGGGCTACAGTTTCATAAGTCAGGTAATAATAAGTATAGTTCTTTTTGGACAATGTCACCCTTGTGTTCTGTCATTTTTTCTTCTGTCTACTTACATGAAAAATTATATTTTTCATAGTATTGTACCTTGTGTTATGGAGATAAAGTTGAATTCTTTTGTCTTTGTTTTTCTAGCCATAAAATACACTTTACCAAGCTTTTAACCTAGCTAATACTCTTTATGGCCTGCATTATATATATTCTTTTGAGTTCATATATCACGTTAACTATTTCTGAGAAAACTTGATACTTCGCATTGAAATTCTCTGAGAATTGGACATCTTTCTAATTAATCTAGAATTTGAGGGATATAGATTTTTTTAAAAGACACTTTTAATTTTATCTTATCTTCCTTCCTTCCTTCCTTCCTTCCTTCCTTCCTTCCTTCCTTCCTTCCTTCCTTCCTTCCTTTCTTCCTTTCTTCCTTCCTTCCTTCCTTCCTTCCTTCCTTCCTTCCTTCCTCTCTTCCTTCCTCCCCCTCTCTCTTTCTTTCTTTCCTTCTTTCTTTGTTGATCCTGGAGCTCAAACTCTGGGCCTGGGCACTGTCTCTCAGCTCTTCAGCTCAAGACTAGCACCCTACCACTTGAGCCACAGCGCTATTTCCCATTTTCTGGTGGTTAATTGGAGATAAGAATCTCAAAGCCCAGGCTGGCTTAGAACTGAGTTCCTCAAATCTCAACCTCCTGAGTAGATAGGATTACAGGCAAAAGCCACCAGACACCCAGCTTATCTTTCTTAAAATGTCCTAAATCCTGCCAATTCCTGTAATGAAACATCTTATCAGAACAAAATATTCATAGCACAGTGTTTTTTTTTTTCCTTAAATTTCATTTTATTGTAAAGATGCTGTACCGAGGGGTTACAGTTACATGAGTAAGGTAATGAGTACATTTCTTGACAAGAAATGTAAGCGTAGTGTTTTGCTAACAAAATACATTATTCATAATATAAAACTACTGGCTACACATACTTAAATTTTTATCTCTTCACTATTAACATTCGAGTTGTATGATGATAGATTAGTTTGTTCTTCCTAATATTAGTTCTGTTTCTCTTGGTTCACACCCACATTCTATGAAAGTATGGCTGCTTGCAAATAGGATCCACCTGAAGTTAATTTACAGATGAAATACCCTTCTATTAGCATTTTTAAAGCATTGTGTCTAGACTGAAAGTGCAGTGGTGGTTGTAAATTACTTTAATGTAAAAGATTTTCAAAGTCAATAAAATACATTTTTGCAGTGATTGAAGTTGATATGCGTCACACACACTTGCCTACTTTGGTGCTATTTATTTTTTTCATGGAGCAAACATCACCTGTTCAAATTGACTGACAGTTCGGAAAGGTTAGAACATAGGTTAGAACAAGCAGACAGCAGAGCTCAATGAACTGCTGGTTTTAGACATGCCTGTCGGCCATTTTTCTCTACTGTTGAATCCTGAGTACCACAGCTGAGTCTCTGTGACTACCTTAGAATCCTCTGGAATGTTCAAGACTTCTCCCCACAGTGAACTTTTCAGTTTATCTGGAATCCCGGTCATTTGGAATCAGCAAGGTGGGCTGCTGTTGACCTTCAGCAGTTTTAACCTAATGTCCGCTGCTTCAGGTCATATCCTTCCAAGGTTGGTGGTACTGTTTTTTCCATGTACTGAATTTTTTTTTTTAAAGCATGCTCAGGCCAGTTGTGTCTGCCTTTGCATTAAATTTGTCCTGAGCCATTACTATTGGAGCAATATTTTATAATGATATTCTTAAAAACCTATTTCTATTAACATCTCCTGCATGTTTATTCTATTAAGTGATGACTTCAGCTAAGCCTGGTAATAGGATGACAGACAGGAAAAATGTTGAGTAAGTCAACGGTGCATGTAGATTAATAGTTTAGTCTCACTGCCTGTGTATGGATAGTCAGGAAGTAATAGTGTCTTGTAATAGTGTACCCAATAAAAAGCAAAGCCATCTGCTACAGTTGGAAGTAGCAGTTCATTAAAACACATGTTGGCTTATTTTCAGCAAAACATGCTATTAATACTATATAAATATCTAATGCCAGTTGGATCCTGATTCATGTCTTAGAGCCTGACTTTTATAGATACCTAAAAGAGACAGAGGCAAAATGCTAACTCCCAAAGAATTCCTTCAGACTAAATCATTTAAAGAAGACATGGCTGAAAATTGTCTTCCTTTTAGGACTTGCTGCAGGGGAGATCATTTTGATTGCATTGACCATGCACTGACAGTGAGTCAGTCCAAAGCTGCATGATGAGGCATGAACATTGCCAAGAGAATATCATTATAAAATATTTTGGAGATGTCTTTGTGTAATGACTATTGTACATGGAGGCTTTTGTGGATTGTGGGAGACTAAATACAAGCCAACATTTCATTGACACATGCATGGTGCTGTACAGTTCTGTATGTAAACTATTCCTTTCTGTACTTTCCAATTTTTCCTGTCATTGACCGCTCAAGTTTGGATGTGCAGTTATGTCTTCCGGTGACTGAAACTCCTGCACTGTTTCCTTTAAGTTCTGTAAACAAATGTCCATTAAATACACATTGATGTTGTCTTTTCATAATTAACCAGTGTTCTGTAGGGGACCATACTGGCATTTTTAATTTAAAATGCCACCTCTAGTATGGAGTATGCTTGCTGTAAGGGAAATTACAATTTGTGTTTACACCTTGAGAGCACACAGCAAGTTGGTGTAAACTGTCAGAATCTTAAGTTTTATAAGCATCCCTATTTCACTCTTCCCACACTTACCAATTATCAACATCCCTTATTATCACTTTTGAGTATTCATTTTTCTGGATATGAATATACATTTTTTTTCCAGTCCTGGGGCTTGAACTCAGGGCCTGGGCACTGTCCCTGAGCTGCTTTTGCTTAAGGCTAGCACTCTACCACTTGAGTCACAGCACCACTTTCTGCTTTTTCTGTTTGTGGTAGTGAGGAATCGAACCCAGGGTTTTACGCATGCTAGGCAAGCATTCTACCACTAGGCCACATTCCCAGCTCTGAATATACATTTAAATGTATATTCCCCCATGGGAAACATACGCAGTTTCCTACATTTTTCCTTCCCATTCATATACATTTTTTAATTTTTGTCACAGAGATTCATCCAGCATCAATTAATAACAAGGCACCAATGTGGAGAAGGAACTCCAAATTCTTTTCCACATTATGGGGGAAAAGTATTATGTTAATGTCCAAAATTAACTTCTATGGTTGTAAGCAGGTAGTGATTTGGCATGCTTATTCGAAATGCACTCAGCATGTATTGAAATTCCTTTAATTGTTACGTGAATTGTTTGCATATGTGGTTATTATATGTGATTTCATTGTACTTGTATGTACTTGTATCCAAACATGTTTGTATTAGGCTTGATTTTGCTGGCCATTCTTGAATGACCGAGCAATTCAAGAATCAGAAGTGTTTTGTGCTTGTCGTCTGTAATATGTATACTCTCTGATGTTTTCTCACCCTTTGTCAGCTTTTAATTTTATCCTCATCCAACAAGATATCTTTTATATATTTGTTGGAAACAAATTTATGCAAAGACAACTTTAGTAAGCTTTGCTCAACATAAATTATTATATTGGCCGTTTGGTAACACTGGACAATGTAACTGATATCACATCTCTCTTTTGCAGTTGACCCACCTTCAGACTTGAATTTTAAAATTATAGATGAAAATACTGTTCACATGTCATGGGCCAGGCCAGTGGATCGCATCAAGGGTTACAGAATAACAGTGGACCCCACAACAGGTAGGTTGCAGGATACGGAGGAAAGAGACATCAAAGATGCTTTAATGTAGTGTCCTCTTCTTCTCCTATTCCATCACAAAGAATAAGCCTAGTGATTGTGCTTAATGTCACCAGATCCTTTGTAGATCTGCCCTTCTCCAGCTCAGGACCCACAGTTGTATTTTTGTGAAGTTGAGCTTTATTGATACAGTTTTTTGTGTTGACCTACTATTGTTAATAACAGACATTTGCAGGGCACTGGTGGCTCACACATATAACCCTGGCTACTCAGAAGGCTGAGTTCTGAAGGCTGCAGTTTGAAGCCAGCCCAGGCACGAAAGTTAGGAGAACTTTTATCTCCAATTCAACAGCAAGAAATGGAGATGTGGTTCACGTGATAGAGTGCCAGACTTGAGTGAAAAAGCTAGAGGACAGGACCCAGGCCCTGAGTTCAAGCTCTGGCATTGGCACAAAAAATGGACTTTTAATTATTTTTTAAAAATGAAACAAAGCAAAACAAAGGCTGTTTCAGTTTTCTCCATTGTTATCTTTAGTGTTAGTGATGTCTCCCAAATATGGAGAGCAAATGTCTTTTGATTAAACTTTTAGTTCTAAAATAAAGGTGGGAGAATCACCATTTCCAGTGGCCAAGTGGTAAAAAGTCTTCACTGGTGATAGTAGAGAAGGAGGTCAATACAGCTTCTCTCCAGAGCTGTGTTTAGTTATCTTTTGTTCTTAAGAATGCCAATGAATAGGGATACAGGTGGACCCATTGCAACAATGAGACGTACAAGTTGTTATGTTGAAAATGAACTTTACAACTTTGGTGGGGGGGGGGGAAGGCTGGGTGGGGGGGGGTGTGGGGGAGGATGGGATGAGAAGAGGAAACAAAGGAGGAGGCTACAATGCTTGATAAGAAATGTACTCATTATCTTGCCCATGTAATTGTAACCCCTCTGTACAGTATTTTCACAATAAAAAGAAAAGAAAAAAAAAGAATACCAAAGAATTAAAGTGTTCATTTATTGGGGAAATTTTTTTAAAAAAGAATTAAGATGAGAGCCAAAAAAATGGTGAATAATTTATTTTTCCTCTACACCTTTTCTACTTTTGTTTCTTTTTTTTATTGTGAAAATACTGTACAGAGGGGTTACAATTACATGGGCAAGATAATGAGTACATTTCTTATCAAGCATTGTAGCCTCCTCCTTTGTTTCTCCTTCCCATCCCTTCCCATCCTCCCCGCCCCCCCAATCCTCCCTGCCCCCCCCACCTTTTCTACTTTTTAAATATGTTTTCAGTTAAGTAAACTTTTAAAATTTGAAAGCAGAAGAACAGCTCAAATAGGGTCCATCCAGTTTCTACATACTGGAAATTTCTGACTCCTAACAGTATAAATATGGTCTTGGGACCCCCAATCCAGCAGCAGGTCCCCAGTATCTTTTTTTTTTTTGGGTCCGGTCATGGGGCCTGAACTCTGGGCCTGGGCGCTGTCCCTCAGCTCTTCAGCTCAAGGCTAGCACTCTACCACTTGAGCCATAGTGCCACTTCCGGCTTTTATTTTCTTTTTTGCTTTTGTGGTGCTGAGGAATCGAACCCAGGGCCTCATGTATGCAAGGCAAGCGCTCTACCACTGAGCCACCTTCCCAGCCCCATGTCTCCAATATCTTAATGTCCCTTGGGGTACTGGTTGGTACTGTACATTTTATGTAGGAACCAAGAATACTTCTCAGGCTCTATTGCACATACTACCTTTCCTAATTAAGTTTTGATGAAAATTTAATGTACTTACAATATTAATAGGTGCTTAGTCTTTACAAACTACCATAATTATTGATTAACCTGGGACTCAACAGAATCTAAAAGGAAATACCTTGTTATTATTTAAATAAATACTCCTATGCTGTACCTTGCACTATTTCTACCTAATGAAGCAATTTAGAATACCCATTAAGGTATAGATCCATTGGAGCATGGACAATATATTTTTTCACTTGAGGGGTTAATTTAATAAAAAACCCAAGAGGTTTATTTTCCTTCAACTTGGTTCCATCCCTTGTTTCACTATACCTGCTCTCTTCCAATGTGTGCTTTAAATTAAAAAATTTGCTTTAGAACTTATTTATAAAAATTTGGTTATCTATTGTTAGTCTTCAAAGGTGCTGAGGGATTGTGGGTATGATATTCTGGTATACCTTTAATCTAGAAGAGTCTGGAACCTTCAAAAGTATTGAATATGATGATAACAAGTAAAGGCCATGCTAATGCTTACTTAAAATTTTAAGATTCATGAGAGATGAGAATATGTATTGTACTCATAAAATGACATGTTGAATGAAAACTCTTTTATACAATTACTTAAAGATAATAAAAAGAAATGAAATAGTATTAGAAACACATTATGAATAGTTTGAGGAGCCATGCATTGGTGGCTCATGCTTTTAATCCTAACTACTCAGGAGGCTGAGATCTGAGGATCATGATTCAAAGCCAGCCCAGGCAGGCAGAAAAGTCCATGAGACTCTTATCGCCAATAAACTAGTCAGAAAAGACCAGGAGTGGCACTCTGGCTCAAATGGTAAAGCGCTAGCCTTTAGCAAAAGAAGATTAAGAACAGTGCCCAAGACCTGAGCTCCATGACCGGGGGCAGGCGGTGGGGGTGGGGGAGGGGGGGGAAGTTGAATAGTTTGAAGGCAAAATCGGTTTCAAAGATTGGTGATCGAAGTGGCAGAGTCTGGCTTGAGAAGAGAAAAAAAAAAAGAAATGGGAAAAAACCCACTCAAGTTCTTGGTTTGGGAAGGCAATTAAGAAGTAATGTTTAGATATCCTGAAAAGTGCATGTATTAAAAATGTTCAGATTTTTGGGAATTGCAGTTATGTTATACTTGAAACTATTTAACTCCATTCCTATCTTTTCTTTCTCTCATTCCAGATGGGCCCACTAAAGAGTTCACCCTTTCAGCCAGTACCGTTGAAACTTTGTTATCAAACCTTATACCTGAAATAGAGTACATAGTGACAATTACTTCATATAATGAAGTAGAAGAAAGTGTGCCAGTTATAGGCCAACTAACAAGTAAGCGGACATAAAAATTCATGCACTTTTGTATATTTTGTTTCATGAAGCATTTTTCCAAGTTGAGATGTAACCTTTTATTGGGAGGAGTTAATTGATATCAGCACTAACCAACCTTTCTAGGATGTGAGTTATTACAGAGTATGAATAATTCATTCCTGACTTAGAACTTTGGTATTTGGAAGTAGCAGAAATGCTGTAAATGAAAGTTATGTAACTCATTCTACTTCTTCCCAGGCAATAATGTATCTCCAAAATCTCACTAAACTAATTTTATTTGCAAGGAACTGCTTATTTAGCAGGTTGACCAGCTAGCCATGATCATATATTTAAAATAAAATGTCAAAGAACAGTATTTTCTCTCTCCTCTCTCACGTGTTCTTTCCTTTTGCAATAATGAAGTTTTCCTCAGTTCAAACAGGTGGTCCGACAAAGCCAGGAGAAAAGAAACCTGGAAAAGCAGAGATACAAAGTAAGTATTTTTGCTTGGCTTTCTAATCTAAATAAATCTGAACATAGACTGGTTATAAACATAAACATAGCATAAATATAAACAAAGGCTGATCTCATTCCTGTAGTAATTTCTATATGCATTCAAAGAGCCTATAGTAAATATAGAGAAATATATAATTATGTAGTTGTAATGCTGAATTTTGACTTTCTAGCCAATTTTCCACTCTAAGACAAATAGATAGACATTGATAATGCAGGTGGCTCATACCTATAATCTTAGCTCCTATGGAGGCTGAGATCTGGAGGGTCATTATTTGAAGCTAGCCAGGGCAGAAAAGTCCAAGAGAATTCATCTCCATTTAACCAGCAGAAAGTGTGACTTAAGTAGTAGAGCACCAGTACCCTGAGTTCAAGCCCCAGAATCAACAAAATGAAATTGATGGACATAAAACAAATATGAGGCTGAAGCAATGCCCTCACTTAGCTGTTCAACTGTCTTGAAAATATATTTCTACGTCTAGCTGGGTGTTGGACTCATCTCTATGATACTGGCATCCTTAGCTGATGACAGTATTCGAAACCTTTTCCAGAATCTCTGTAAGATTTCTCTAAGAAATTGGTGCATTTGTTGACTTGGATGTAGCTAAGTGGTAAAGCTCTTGCCCGGCAAGGGTAATGTCCTGAGTTTGATCCCTAGTTACCCACCCCTCACCCCTGAGAAGAAGAGAAGAAATTGATGCATTCATAATCAGATGAAAGTAATTTTATTCAATCTAAGTTTTGTGGTCAATAGCCTCTTTTTCTTTCTTATACTGCTTTGTTTGTTTTACCAACACAGACGCTTGGAGGTTTCTTGGTCTTCTAATTTTGCCACTTTGTAAAAGTTGCATTTGTGATCCAGAATGACAGTAATAAGATTCTGAGCACAAAGGTCTCCTTATCTGGAAATCTTCCTTCCAGATGACTGTTGATCTTCCTTTCAAATGCCTAATAATGTGAAATGAAGTTTACACTATACACTTACAATACTAAACTTTTCTCCAAACCATCAACAGTTATTCCAAACCAATGCATTATACTAAATATAGGCATTGTAAATAGACATAGGCTGGTCTACTAAATAGTTTGAAAAAATTATTTAAGCATGCAACTTTGGCTTGCACATTTTTCCAGGACCTTTTCCTTCTCGTAGCCAAAATATTTCTTTTATTATCTACCAACTGACTTGGAAGGACAAAAACATCTTCAGAGAATTCACTCAGTGCTGTCATATAAATACAGATTTTCATGAAAACCAGCCTGGGCTCTTTACTATAGAAAAAGAAAGGTGACATACGCACTTATGAAAACTGATAATTGCATTTTGGGACTTTTAAGAACGGACATTGTTTTAAATTTTTTAGTTAAAATGATCATTTCTCTTTCTCTTTCTTTTCTTTTCTTTTTTTTTTTTGGTCCAGTCGTGAGGCCTGAACTCTTGGCCTGGGCGCTGTCCCTCAGCTCTTCAGCTCAAGGCTAGCGCTCTACCACTTGAGCCACAGAGCCACTTCCTGCTTTTTTTTTCTTTTTGCTTATGTGGTGCTGAGGAATCGAACCCAGGGTCTCAGGCATGCAAGGCAAGCGCTCTACCACTGAGCCACCTTCCCAGCCCTCATTTCTCTTTCTTTAGTGAAGTAGCCATAGTTGTCAAAACTGAGAACATTGATAATAAAGACAAAACATTTTAGTCACTCTGTATAATTTTAGGCTTTATTAGACTCAATCTTCTCGATTACTTGTTTTTGTGTCGTTTGTGGGGCTTGAACTCTGGGCCTGGGCACTGTCCCTGAATTCTTCAGCTCAAGGCAAGCACTCTACTACTTGAGCTACAGCGCCACTTCCGGTTTTCAGATGGTTAATTGGAGATAAGAGTCTCACTGATATTCCAGCCTGGGCTGGCTTTGAACCCTGATCCTCATATCTTAGCCTCCTGAGGTGTTAGGATTACAGGCGTGAGCCACCGGCACCCGGATTACTTTTTTTTCTTTTTTCAAACTTTAAATAGCTATATTGAAAAAATGTGGCAGGATATGTTTAAAACATTGTTTTTCCTCAACTCAATTTGTTTGAACACCAAGCACTGATTTTTATATTTGTTGATAAATACCAAAGGATAAAAGTATCACTCATATTTCTTGTATATGTCATCCAGATGCATTGTACAATTTTTGCTTGAAGGAAAGAGAGAGGATGTGGTTAAGAAAAATAAGTAAGCTGGTATTGAAATATTTGAACTGTGTATCTCATGGGGGATATGTCATAGACTCGAGTTACCTCTTCTTGTGTTTCTCTTGTGTTATTCTCCAAACGCCGTCTTGACGCTTACCAAAAAGGCTTCTATTTGTCTTTGTTTTTGTTTTTTGAGGGGGTCTGGTGGTGGGGCCTGAACTCTGGGCCTGGGCGCTGTCCCTCAGCTCTTCAGCTCAAGGCTAGCACTCTACCACTTGAGCCACAGCGTCACTTCCGGCTTTTTTCTTTTTGCTTATGTGGTGCTGAGGAATCGAACCCAAAGCTTCTATTTGTGTCCATAAAACTTTATATTCTTTTGTGAATGTGAATGAAGAAAAATAGATGCATCCTAGTGAATAGAATGATTTAGAAAGACAGTTTTATGGTGTTGACTTGTGTGTATTAATGATGGATCTATTTGATAATGTATCACTTAAAAATCTATATCCAATGTATTTCAGAATGCTCTGTCAGTGCCTGGACTGATTTAGTTTTCCTTGTGGATGGATCGTGGAGTGTGGGAAGAAATAATTTCAAGTACATTTTGGACTTCATTGCTGCCCTTGTGTCTGCGTTTGACATTGGAGAGGAGAAGACACGGGTTGGCGTTGTTCAGTACAGTTCTGATACCAGGACTGAATTTAACCTAAACCAGTATTACCAAAGAGATGAGCTGCTCGCTGCAATAAAAAAAATCCCATACAAAGGAGGCAATACAATGACAGGTATTTTCCACAGACTTCACGATTGCTTCCAATTAGTGCCTGTCTGTTTTGGGAAAAAGTGAAGAATCCATCGATTATCATACATGAAACCCTTTTGGGATAAACCGATAATATTTGACTCGGGCAATATGGGATGGTGGAGAGTGAATGCATGCGTTTCCTTTTCTCTTTAGGGGATGCTATTGATTATTTGGTGAAGAACACTTTCACGGAATCTTCTGGAGCAAGAGTTGGCTTTCCTAAAGTGGCAATTATTATTACGGATGGCAAATCCCAGGATGAAGTGGAAATTCCAGCACGAGAGCTTCAGAATATTGGAGTTGAAGTGTTTTCTTTGGGTGAGTGAGATCTAGCTAGTTTTTTCACAGAGATCTACGTGGTGGCTGGGGAGAGGAAGGTTGGATTTCTCCAGGAACCAGGGAAGAGGCTATTACAAGTGTTTACCGCATTTTATAGTGTACTATGAAGCCAAATTGTCTTTGAGCAACCTTCTGCTTATCTTTTCCCCTCCTATAACTCCTTTTGCATATGCATTCAGTGAGGTGAAAATCACATTCTTTGCCAGCTCTCTACTTTTCAAAAAATACTGGGCCAAGGATTCTAATAAAGATCCTTCTTGTATTATCATTAAGCAGCTTTTATGTGCTTTCTGTATTACGTAATCCTCAAAGAATTCAGAGGGCTCAGCTCATTCAGGACTTTGGAAGAAGAAAGTATTATCTTTACAGATGGCAGAGACAAATGATGGCATGGTTAAGATCAGAGCTCACTCTGTTTTACTAACCATTTGCTTTCCTCTTTGGCTGGTCACTTTATGGGAAATATAAAATGTCTCTGTCATCTGAAACAGTTTGCACATTTGTTATAGAGCAGAGTAATTCTGGCTTTTGACTTCAGAAGAATTTGAAAATAGTTTCATCTTTGTTTTTTTTTTTTTTTGGTGGCAGTCTTGGGGTTTGAACTCAGGGCCTGAGTTTCTGCTCAAGGCTAGTGCTCTACCACTTGAGCCACAGCTCCACTTCTGGCTTTTAGTGATTATTGGAGGTATGAGTCTCACAGACTTTCCTGCCCATGCTGGCTCTGAACCACGATTCTCAGATATCAGCCTCCTGAGTAGCTGGGATTTCATGTGTGGCCCACTTGTATCCGGCTGGTTTGAGTTTTGAATGATTGAGAAAACCAAGAACTTCTTCAACTCATCCCCTTTTCCAGTTCAATATGCCCTTGACATTGGTGTTTTTTTTTTTTTTTAAGGTATTAAAGCTGCAGATGCCAAAGAACTGAAGCAAATTGCATCTACCCCTTCACTGAACCACGTTTTCAATGTGGCCAACTTCGATGCCATTGTGGATATTCAGAATGAGATAATCTCTCAGGTGTGCTCTGGGGTGGATGAACAGCTAGGTGAGCTGGTTAGTGGAGAAGAAGGTGAGTACAATAGTGTGACCAACTTCCTTGGGTTGGGCATTTTCTGTCTGGTGACATTGATCACTTTACAGGTGTTCTACCAGTGGATGTATTTAGTCAACATACCCTCATTATTATCTAATTTTAAACATCATTCATTTCTCATTATGGACCTTGTTAATGCCATCTGCATTGTCCCACCCCCTCCAGCGGAAGGCTCGATAAAATATTTGTATCACTGTAAAATTCCTAGAACTTTTTTTTTTTTTTTTTTGCGGGGGGAGAAGTTCTGATGTTCTCTTCTCTTTAAGACACTTTTGGCATATTTTCTATGTACAGTCAGGCTCTCCTGTGTGTGTGTGTGTGTGTGTGTGTGTGTGTGTGTGTGTGTGTGTGTGCTGGGGCTTGAACTCTGGGCTTCTCAGTCTTACCTGACATTTTCACTCAAGGCTAGTACTTTACTAGTTGAATCACACTTCCACATCTCACCTTTTGTTGATTGATTGGAGAAAAAAAATGTCTCATAAATTTGTCTGCCTAGCCTGGCTTAGAATCGTGATCCTCAGATCTCAGCCACCTGGGTAGCTAGCATCATAGGAGTAAATAAATTACTGCCTTTAGCAAGGTGTGGTAGATGAATTTGTGACTTTGTGTATTCATGTCCTGCATGCTGATTGAAGAAAAAAACAACAACTTCTGGGAAGTTGTCCTGAAGGCTACTTGATTAAAAAAAAGGAAAGTTCTGGAAAGTTGATTCCAGTGGCAAATATAGCATTTTGGAGATCTGTCTGAAATTTGTTAAACTATTTTGTTAATTGTTAAATGCATGACCAAGTGCTACAGGAAAGACCAAAATCATTCAGATTATTGATATATACATATCAATATACATGTTATACACCATTATGTTACTTCTACTTGGTGGCATTTGGAATGTAGTTGAACTTTATTTTCATTTTGAATTAAGTGGGATTAAAATTAGTTAAAAACTTAATCTCTTATGTAAGAACTAAGAATTGCTTTCTCTTTCTTTGTATGTTATGAAGTATTTTCTTAACAATCATAGTTAGGATATAATGACACTATAGTATTTTCTTATGACATTATTAAAAGAGGAAAGCATGCTGACATTGAGTGAATTATCAATTTAACACATTTTTTTGAGTATCTCTGAGACTTGAAGATATAGATAATAGGTAATATGTTAAAACTAGGATGAAAATTCTGTTTAGTGCATTAGAAGTTAGATATTCTAATATCATTAGTTTTTCTTAAAGTCTTTTCTTTTTTTTTCTGTCTACTTGGGCTTGAACCATGCCTCTAGTCCAGCATTTTTGTTGGCAGATAGGAGATAAGTTCTTCTGGTCTTTCTGACCAGGATGACATTGAAATGTGACCCTCAGACCTCAGCCTCCAGAGTAGCTAGGATGGCAGGAGTGTGCGTCTCCGGTGCTGGCTCAAATGCTTCCCTTGGGCCACACTTTTCAGCAACCAGGTCCTAGTCACTATTCGTTCAATCCACGTGGACCTGGGGGAGGGCGGGAGCAGACGAGTCCTTTCTGACATGTCCACTATTACAGTTGTATAAGCAGAATTAGCACTGAAGTCCAGACCTCAAGACGTCATTAGCAGATTTGCATCCCATTGCTGTTGATCACGGTGTCTCCTTGTTAACGTTTTAGTTGTTGAGCCTCCTTCAAACCTGGTCGCCTTGGAAGTGTCATCCAAGTACGTCAAGCTGCGCTGGGATCCGTCTCCCAGCGCCGTGACCGGCTACAAAGTGCTGCTTACACCCCTGGCCCCGGGCAGCCGCCAGCATGCACTCAGCGTGGGACCCCAGACCACCTCGCTCAACGTCCGTGACCTGTCTGCAGACACAGAGTACCAGATCAGCGTGTCTGCCATGAAGGGCCTCACGTCCAGCGAGCCCGTGTCCATTCTGGAGAAGACGCAGCCCATGAAAGTGCAAGTGGGTGGGTCGCATCATTACGTCTGCAATACTGGAAAGGGCCATTGGACAGGATGCCAGGCCATGTGGGACTTCCTTTCCCAGTATTATTAGCTTTAAGTGTTGGTGCAAAGGGATGAGAGGACAAGGTTTCGTGTCCACGTCCACTTCCATCCTCCTCTCCCCATCTCCCCCAGGGCCACCCGTCCCCCTCAAGGGCCTGGTTCTGTTTTCACACGTGAACATTGAATAGTATGACTGTATTCTCCATCCTTCCCATTTCCATTCGTCTACCCACCCCTTGATCTCTCCCCCAACACCTTAATTCCAGCTTCCTGGTATTCATTCTGTCAGAATCCTGGAATTCATTCTGTATTCATTCTGTAAGTTAGTTGTTCAAAGGATTCACACCAGGAGAATCTGCTCCTGCATATACAAACTCCAGCACTGAAATATATCTGTATATATATATTATATGAATATATATATGCACATCTATATAGTCAGGAATGTGTACCTGTATATGCCATATACAGGTATATATGCATATGTCTCTAATTTTTACACATACATTTATAAATTAAATCTAACTTCCACATATGGAACAAAAAACCTCACATGTCCTTTGTTTCTCTGGGCCTGACTTACTTCACTTAACATAAATTTTTCCAGGTCCATCTATTTCTCTGCAAATGACACGATATCATCCTTCCTGGTCAATGAGTAAAGTTCCATTGTGTATGTACACCCATTTTCAGGCTTCATTTAAAAAAAATTCCCCATAGTTCTTTGGGCGAACCATGCTTACTAAGAGAGGCAGAGGTGTGGGTTGGAAGCAGATTTGTGAAAGCTTAAGGAATTTAATTTTTCTTCACAGAGTGCTCTCGTGGTGTGGATATAAAAGCAGATATTGTGTTTTTGGTTGACGGTTCCTACAGCATTGGGATTGCAAACTTTGTGAAAGTGAGGGCGTTCTTGGAAGTTCTTGCAAAAAGTTTTGAGATTTCACCAAACAGAGTCCAGATCAGCCTTGTCCAATACAGCAGGGATCCTCATACGGAATTCACGTTGAAAGAATATAACAGAGTTGAAGACATCATTAAAGCCATCAACACCTTTCCCTACCGAGGGGGCTCCACTAACACTGGCAAAGCAATGACGTATGTCAGAGAGAAAATATTTGTGCCGAACAAGGGTTCAAGAAGCAATGTGCCGAAGGTCATGATTCTTATCACTGATGGCAAATCATCGGATGCGTTCAGAGATCCTGCTATCAAGCTCAGGAACTCGGATGTTGAAATCTTTGCAGTTGGTGTGAAGGATGCTGTGCGCTCGGAATTGGAAGCCATTGCCTCTCCTCCTGCGGAGACCCACGTGTTCACGGTAGAAGACTTCGATGCCTTTCAGAGGATATCTTTTGAACTCACACAGTCTATCTGTCTTAGAATTGAGCAGGAATTGGCAGCTATAAAGAAGAAAGGTTAGTAGACTTTATGAGGTTAAAGTTATTTCTTCGCCACAGTCTTCTTGCTCTAACATTATAGAATGTACTTTGTCATTATTTTATTTTTAGCTTAATCTTTAAGTAGTTGTACAAAGGGGTTCCAATTCAATAGCCACCTTTTCCATCATTTCCTCCCTTATGTCTGTCTTGATCTCATTCCCATTTCTTCTTCCTTTGATCTTCTTCCTTCTTCTTCCTCCTCCTCCTCTTCCTCCTCCTCCTCTGCTGCTTCTTCTTCTCCTCCTCCTCCTTCCTTCTCCTCCTCCTCCTCCTCCTTCTCTTTCTTTTTCTTCCCCCCTCCTCCTCTTCCTTCTCCTCATCCCTAGTCTTCTCCTCCTCCTCTTCCTCCTCTTCTTCCTTCTCCTCCTTTTCCTCCCTGGTCTTTTCCTCCTCCTTGCTCTCCTCCTCCTCCTCCCCCACCCCAGTCTCCTCCTCCTCCTTTCTCCTGCTGTTGTACTGGGTCTTGAACTCAAGGCCTTGCACTTTTGTTTGTCATCTTTGCTCAAGGTTGGCACTCCACCACTTGAGCCACACATCCACTTCTGGCATGTTTTTGCTGGTTACTTGGAGATAAGAGTCTTATAGACTTATCTGTCCAGGCTGGCTTAGAACTGCAATTCTCAGGTCTCAGCCTCTTGAGTAGCTAGGATTATAGACATGAGTCACTAGCACCTAGCTACTTCTTTTTCATTTGCAGGAAAAGGTAGCATTCATATGTTGTTGAACACTATCAAACTTAGCTTATTTAACTGTTATGACTTCTTCACTGCTGAAAAGTTGTTTAGCCACAAGTGTCATGAGATATTTCTCTTCTTAGATCCTCAGCAAGTGTAGTAATTTATTTGTCATAGAGAACTAAATGGGTATCTTCTTGTGTTGGATACTGAGTTTGGCCCTTTGAACAAGAGGTGTCCAGAACATAGTCCCGGATCTTTGATTAATTCAATATATTCCTCTTCCAGAGATCGTTTTTGGCATGATTTATCACATCTGGAGTTTCCTATTTTCCTTTCTCCCTGTGTTTAAATTCTGTTTACCAATGTGCAGTGAGCCACACCCTCGCTCTCCTGGCACCTTCTCTGACGGATGTAGTCCCATGACAGCCCGCACAGTCACTTTTACTCATCTAGCATTCTAACATCTAGAATGCTAGATGTTATTGGATAAATAACTTTGCACTCTCCTATCTCTTCTGTTTCATTGTGTGTACCCTGAGGACAACGTGCCTTAAAACACTGTGATTTCCAGTGACTGAATTAATGAATATTCATTTTTGTGTGTGTCTTAGCGTGCCTTAAAACACTGTCATTTCCAGTGACTGAATTAATGAATATTCATTTTTGTGTGTGTCTAGGAGGTACTAGAACTTGAACTTGGGTCCTCATGTTGTTGCTGGCCTTTTCTGACTTTTTGGTGCTCTACTACTTGAGCCGTACCTCTACTTCTCAAGTTTTAGTGGTTAATTGGAGATGAGAGTCTCACAGACTTTCCTGCTTTAAGCTGGCTTTGAACCTTCGTCCTCAGATCTCAGCTTCCCGAGTAACTAGGATTATAGGCAAAAATCATCATTGCCTGGCTGTTAATGAATATTCCTTCTGATAGGGAAAATATTCTTAATTTTAGTTTGAAACATCTACCTATCTGCCAGCAAACTTTAATAGTTAAGTGTGAGAGATTAGCAAGAACATTTTGATGGTTCTTGTAAATGTGCTACTGTGGCTATTTTGTTTGAATAAGTTCTGAATTCAAATTCAATTTTACTATTGTTTTGGTAATATTGGGATTTGAATTTAGGGTCTGGTACTTGCTAGGCAGGCACTCTACCACTTGAGCCATGCTTCCAGTCCTTAAATCCTTGTAATTGGACACTTCTATAGTATACCTTAGTAGTGCCTGGTGGAGGCAGGTGATGAGGACCTTCTAGTAAGGCTATGAGAGGCCTTTTTCCAATGGTCCCGGAAGTCACAAGGTTTACTTTCAGTGACCACTCTTCCAAATGAGTGGATGCCATCACAGCAATCAGTAGTCATGAGATCAATTTTTACTTTGTTAGCTAAAGAAACTTAAATGATTGCCTCTTTTTTCTCTTCCATAGCTTATGTGCCTCCAAGAGATCTTCGCTTTTCTGACGTGACTTCTTCCAGTATCAAAGCAGATTGGTCCCCTGCTGGAGACAATGTGTTTTCCTATCACATCACATACAAAGAAGCCAGCGGGGACGATGAGGCCACTGTAGTAGAGCCGGCCTCGAGTACCAGCGTTGTTCTCAGCAACCTCAAGCCAGAGACCCTGTACTTGGTGAACGTGACCGCCGAGTACGAAGATGGCTTCAGCACACCCCTAACCGGGGAGGAGACCACAGGAGAAGGTAAGATGGCTTCTTACCATGGAGTTTCACAGCTAGTGTTTTATTATACAACCAAGGCCCACCTGCTTCGTAGTCCATATTACGTCTTACGTATCTATTAACATTTGACATCTTTGTATAGCATAAACAGTGGTGTAAATCCTCTCGTTAAAAGAGAAAGAGCAGGAGTGCTAGACTGTGGGAGAGGGAGAGAGAGAGGGAGAGGATGCGGCTGGATTCTGATGTCTAGAATCCTAGCTACTCAGGAGGCAGAGATCTGAGGATTGGGGTTCAAAGCAAGTTTGGTCAGGAAAGTTCATGAGACTTTCATCTCCAATAAACTATCCCAAAATTCAGAAATGGAGCTGCTTAAAAAAATCATTTTGCTGACTGTAATTAGTTGTATTTTTGCCCTTTTTATATGCTGAGGAATTTTACCTTGATTACAAATATATTGACATTATCTTACTTTAAGCCACCGAGCCCTATTTCCCCCTTTTGTTCTTTAAACCCTCCCTAAACTATGAACAGCTTTTTAGCAAGCATCTCCCTTATATTTGGCATTCATTTAGCCAGAGATAAAATAATTTCTGAAACAGTCCTACAACCATTTTTTAATCTGGATGTAGAGATTAATTGGACCGTATATTGGAGACTGACTTCCTTCTTCCCTTCCTTCCTCCCCTCCCTTCCTCCCTCCTTCCTTCCTTCCTTCCTTCCTTCCTCCCTTCCTTCCTTCTTTCTCCCTCCCTCCCTCCCTCCCTCCCTTCCTCTCTTCCCTTCCCTTCTGTTCCCTTCCCTTTCCTCCTCACCCCCTCCTCCTCCCTCCTCTTCTTCCTCCCCCCCCTCCTTCCCCTTCCTTTCCCTGCCCTTCTTCAATGCTGGGGCTTGAACTCTGGCTTAAGTGCTGTCTGTGAGTGTTTTTTGTTTGTTTTCTTCTTAAAACTAGTGTTCTACCCCTTGAGCCACACCTCCACCTCTGACTTTTGGGTGATTGATTGAAGATAGGAGTCTCATAGACTTTCCTGCCGGGGCTGGACTTAAAAACCACAATCCTCAGCTCTCAGCCTCCTGAGTAGCTAGGATTACAGGTGTGAGCCACTGGAGCCTAACTGTATATACAATATATTTCATCACAATATTTTTTTATAAAAAATAAAATTATGGAGCTGGGAAGGTGGCTCAGTGGTAGAGTGCTTGCCTCCCATGCTTGAGGCCCTGGATTCAATTCCTCAGCACCACATAAGCAGAAAAAAGCCAGAAGTGGTGCTGCGACTCAATCGGTAGGGCCCTAGCCTTAAGCTGAAAAGCAGAGGGGCAGCGCCTAGGCCCAGAGTTCAGCCTTCATGACTGACCAAAAAAAAAAATTATGGAAAGAAATACATTAAAATCACCCTCCCCTCCTGCCCCCTCCCCCCCTCCTCCAGGGAAGAAAGGGCAAAGGCCACTAATCTCACATAAGCTTTAGTTTTGGGTCATCATACCTCTGTGGTATAATTTGGTAATGTCTTTCCAATCTATTCTTTGTAGTGAAATCTGAGATTTCAACTGTCTTTGTCAATAAGGACATTTCTGATTCAAGCCCTTTATTAGGTTAAGAAATTTTTAGCTTCCCCCTGTTTGTCAGATGCTGTGCTAAATGTTCTCAATGGATTATCTCATTCAACCATGATGTCATAATAATCATGTTTTAATAGTGAGCAATCCAAAACTCAAAATCACATACCTGTTAAGTTTTAGAGCCAGGATTCCAACCCATCAGTCTATCCACCTCATTTATTCGGACTGATTTAGTCTTTTTTCTACACACTTGAATCATGGCCACGAGTCTGCCAACTTCCATTTTTTTTTCTTGAGAGATGCATCTTTCCATCCACCTTGGAGTAATGTATTGCTGCACTGAATTGACAAACAAACTTAAAAATTGTCGAGTACACATACAGGCATGTTGTACTCTGGTTTCAACCCAGTGCATTGAGAACTCATGATCTTTCCTGAGTGAGTCGTTAATGTAGACAGCTTGCCCTCTGAACAAGTGGATGATGGAAACACGGTTACTAAACACAAAGCCGAATGTATTTTTTTTGCCAGTCCTGAGGCTTGAACTCTGGGACTGGAAGCTGTCCCTGAGGCTCTTTAGCTCAAGGCTAGTGCTCTACCATTTGAGCCACAGCTCTGCTTTTGGCTTTTTGTGGTTAATTGGAGGTAAGAGTCTCCTGCCTGCCAAGGCTGGCTTTGGACTATGATCCTCAGAGCTCAACCTCCTAGCTAGCTAGGACTACAGCAGAGATCCATCAGCTGCCTTCCTCATCAATCTTAATGAAAATTTCATAGTTGACTGTGAGTCTGTATTACTCATACTGTAATTTAACTTCAAAATTCACATCTAACTAGGGTTCATTAAATATGCATCACATGCTTCCTGTCCAACTAATATGGTCCAACTAATCTCCACATCCAGATAAAAAACTGGTGAGATGATTGTTTCAGAAGTTAACCTCTGGCTAAATGAATGCCAAATGTAATGGAGATGCTTGCCAAGAAGCTATTCATAGCTTAGTTAAAGAAATGTTATAATTTAGCATCCAAAAGCTAGTTCTTATATTTTTCACATAAAGTCAAGTAAAAATTTCAAATTCATATTCGTTTTATTTTTTTTTATTGTCATCAAATAATATGAGGGCTCTAGAAAGGGGTTTCAACTTAACATGTCCATTTATGTGTACAATCTTAGCCAGCCACTCCTTCCATAATTCTTCCCAACACTTGTCCCCACCCCATTCATCTCAGCAAATTTCCTACTTCCATTTTTATATGTGTGCATTGAATATTGTGACTGTAGTGGCCTATCATTTCTTGTTCTATTCATCTACCCTCCCTTTATAAACCCTGACTCTATTCAAGACAAGTTTCAGCTTCCTTATATTCACTTCGTTAAACTATTATTATTTAAAGGGGTTATAGCATAAAGTTTCACTCCTATGTGTACTGTACAGTTAATCAGCTTAATCACACACATATGAATATGGCCTTGCTTGTATTTATGAATTTTCATAGTTATTTGTATTTTTTTATTTCAGTAAAAGGTGCACCTCGAAACCTAAAAGTGACAGACGAGACTACAGATAGTTTTAAAATTACCTGGACTCAAGCTCCAGGGAGAGTTTTAAGGTATCGGATTAAATACAGACCAGTTACAGGAGGAGAAAGCAAGGAAGTCACCACCCCAGCCAACCAGAGAAGGAGAACGCTGGACCACTTGATGCCAGACACAAAATACGAAATATCTGTAATTCCTGAGTACTCCTCGGGACCTGGCTCTCCCCTGACCGGAAACGCAGCCACTGAAGAAGGTAGAGGAAATACGCCAGTCATAGTAAAGTTACCCAAATGTTACACTAAAACTCTCCAGAAAACATGAATCGCAACACACAGGTCTCAGTGTTCTGTGGCTCTTAGTCTATGGTAGATTTAGGTTAAAGCTATCCAATTGTTTTACTTACATATAACATCATTTATTTGTGTCAGTAGAACTTGACAGGATATGGTCCAGAGATAGTCTTTTATGAATACAATTAAAGCAAATATTTTAGTACAAATTAAAGGATGACTAGGGATTACAAAATCCAACTACTTGACAGCATTGGAATTGATTCGATTTTATTTTTTAGGAAGATCTTTTCTGTTTGTTTTTGTTGGTCGTGGGGCTTGAACTCAGAGCCTGAGAGCTGTCCCTGAGCTTTTTTCCTCAAGGCTAGTGCTCTACCACTTTGGGTCACAGCTCCACTTCCGGTTTTCTGGTGGTTAATTGGAGATAAGAGTTTCACGGACTTTCCTGCCAGGGCTGGCTTTGAACCTGGATCCTCAGATTTCAACCTACTGAGAAGCTAGGATTACAGGCATGAGCCACTGGTGCCTGTCTGGAGGATCTTAAATATTAATTTGTAGTTATTTCAATGGAGTGCTTAGGCTTGCAGGACTGATTCTGATAACTTGAAAATCATTAATAAGTGTTTAATATGTTATTTCATTAAGAAAGTTACATAATAAATATTTTCATTTTATTCCTTATCTTTTGTGTATGTGGTACTAGGCTTGGAACTCAGGGCTTTGCACTTACTGTGCTGGTTCTCTGTTGCCTGAGCCACACCTTCGACCGTGCTTTTTTGCTGGTTATTTTGGAGATGAAGCCTAGTAAACTTTTCTGTCTTCCCTGGTCTTGAATTACAAGTTCAAGTTCAAGTTCAATCTCCAGTTCTCAGGCTATTGACATCTAGGGTTATAGCAATAAATCATTAGCATCTGGCTCAAGGCATTTTTTAATAGTAATGAAAATGGCCAACACATACTACAATAATGGATTGATCGTCTATTTCCATCTTTTCTGCAGAAGGCTCTTTGCATATTATCCCATCAGCCCTCATTTCCAAATAGAGACTGTGAACTTGTTATTATTGTCATCCCCTGTTTATGAGGAAAATTGAGACAAAGGAAATTCAATCACAGCTCTAAGCCATGGACCTAAAAAGCTGTGAATCTGGGTTTGTGCACTTCACTGCTCACCCTCAGCTATTCTCAAGGACTGTTTAGTGCAGGGCCTACCTCTGTAGCTCAGCAACTTGGTCTTTCCTGCGGCAGCCCTCCTCCCACTCACCTTTCTCCTCCTTCTTCTCTTCCTCCTTCTCTTCTTGCATTGGGAAGTTAATACTTGAACTTGTCTTTTCCTATCTGAGAATCTAACCTTTTTGTGTTGCACACCATAAAATAACCCAGTTCTTTGTGATTTTAGTTTGCCTGAAGTTAGCCTGGCTGGGGGGTTCTGTGCCAGTGGGGTTCTGTGCCTGGGACCCCCCCAGTGACCACGTGACCCAGCCACAGGGGAATCATACCTACCAGATAGCATGTTGTGAGGATGTGGGGTGCCTCTTACATGTGTGTCCACTCTTGGTCTCACTTAGCTTTTTTCTTTTCTTTTCCCTTCATTTTTTCCTTCCTAGGGGCAGCACCATTTAAAAAAAATTTCCATTTATCTTTTTTTCCCCTTTCAGCATAATTTCTTGATGGTTATGTTTACATGTTTACAGTATGACACTGGTAAATTGTCTTTACCAAGATTTCTAAGGGGAGTTATTTTTCCTCCACTTTTAGAAAAACTTTAGAAAAAGTAGGATACATGTAAGATTTTACTCAAAAGGTTTTCTCACTTGTGAACATAGAAAGAGAATTGGATGTCTTTTGCTTTGCATCTGCTCGCAGGTAGGGTCTGGTTTAGAGATACTTAAATGTGGCTGGTTAACTCAGGAGTCAGTGGCTCATACTTGTAATTCCAGCTACTCAGGAAGCTGAGTTATCCTAAACAGGAAAGTCCCTGAGAGTCTTTTTTTTTTTTTTGGGTCTGGTCATGGGGCCTGAACTCTGAGCCTGGGCGCTATCCCTCAGCTCTTCAGCTCAAGGCTAGCGCTCTACCACTTGAACCACAGCACCACTTCCGGCTTTTTTCTTTTTGCTTGTATGGTGCTGAGGAATCGAACCCAGGGCCTCAGGCATGCAAGGCAAGCGCTCTACCACTGAGCCACCTTCCCAGCCCCCTGAGAGTCTTATCTCCACTAAAAACTACCAAAAAGCCAGAAGTGGAGCTGTGGCTCAAGTGGGTAGAGTAGAAACATTCAAGGACAGTGTTCAGGACCGGAGTTCAAGCCCCAGGACTGGTACCAGAAAAAAAAAATCGTTGGCTAGTTAACAGTTTCAGTTATCATTAAATTAATTAATGATTTCACCTTAAATTAATTAACTAATTTGCTTATGATAAAAACTTGGTAGAATTGAAGAGACTGAGACAGGAACATTGAGAGTTCAAAGCCAGGCTAGCCTACCTAGTATAATACTGTCTCAAATTAAAAACAAAAAAATTGCAAAATATTTTCCTGATACATTTTGAAGGATTAGCACAAATGTAATTTCTAACATAAAGTAATTCTGAAGCCAGGCGCTGGTGGTTCATGCTTGTAATCCTAGCTGTTAGGGAAGCTAAGATCTAAGCATTGAAGTCCAAAGCCACCCAGAGCAGGAAAGTCCATGAAACTCTTACCTACAATTAACCACCAGAAAACCAGACATACAGCTGCAGTTCAAAGTGGAGGAAAAATGCTTAGGACAGTGTCCAGGTCCTTAGTTCAAGCCCCAGGACCACTACCAACAACAACAACAACAAAAAGAGTAACTTTGACCAAGGTTTTACAGTTAATTGGTTTAATACTAATGTTAATAAGGCTATTAGAATATTCTCTTCATCTCAATTCATAATTGAATCTGATCACTTTAAAAAGTCTGTAAGAACCATCACTGGAAAGCATACTGGAAAGATTAATAGACCAGTCAGAATGAATATTTGGGAATTATGTGGCTATAATGAATTGTTTAGTACAGCAGGTGTACTTTTCTTTCTTCTAGATTGCTCATTTCTTGTTCCTCAGACTACATAGAGCAAAGTTTGGTGAAATATTTATTGACCTGTCTGAGTTACTGGCCTATTTGCCTCTAACTCTGGGATATATGAAGCAAAGGTAGCTCATCACTGTGTGGTTTGTTAGATCTTAATGCTGTAGTTGCTCGGCCTTCTTCCCACCTTTCAGCATTGTTAATCTTTAAAAAATAAAATAAAATAAATTATATATATAAAAAAAACTTGGTAGAATCCAACTCATTTATGTCAAGGAACAAAGTGTTTTCAAAGTCATTTTATTAAATAATCAGTTTTGATGTTGTTTCCTTTCTTTATGAAGTTCGAGGGAATCCGAGAGACCTGAGAGTTTCTGACCCCACCACATCAAGTCTGAAATTATCGTGGAGTGGAGCCCCAGGGAAAGTTAAACAATATTTGGTCACCTATACCCCGGCGGCAGGAGGGGCCACGGAAGAGGCCACGGTGAGGGGCGACACCACAACCACCGTGCTGAGGAGCCTGAAGGAGGGGACACAATACACCTTATCTGTGACGGCCTTGTATGCGTCTGGGGCTGGAGATGCCCTTTATGGAGAAGGGACAACACTTGAAGGTAATGTGCTGTCATGCTAATGGAAATATTTAAGCTTGTCTGCGATTCTGAAATTAGGAAGCCTAAAATGTGATCCTTTTTCTTACAAGAAAAGTGAATAAGATTGCCTGTTATTCAGAGATGTATAATATAAGCTATTGAAAAGAAAAGATGAATTTGAGTAGACTAGCACAGTGGCTCATGCCTATAATGCCAGCTACTAGGGAGACTGAGGTTGGGAGGATTTTCGTTTTGAGGCTACCCTGGACAAAAAGTTGTGAGACTTTATTTCAACCAATCAAAAGCTGTCACATGGCACATGTCATGCTAGCTATGTGGGAAATGAAAATAGGAGGATTGTAGTCCTGGCTGGCCCAGGCAAAAGGTAAGACCCTATTAAAAATAAAAAAAATCCCAGGAGCACTAAAGGACTGGGGTCATGCGTCTAGTGGTAGAGAGCCTGCATAGCAGGAAGAGGCACCAAGTTTAAACCATAACAAAACCAAAAATAAACAAATAAACCAAACCAAAAAATACTTAATTAGGAAGAAGCATCTCGGGGGAGTGGAAAGAACAGGAAGGCTGTAGAAATGGTTTGTGGTGCCTGGATTGCTTTAATGGAGACCAATGCGAGCAACGTTCAGAGAGAAGGATTCTTGTTAAATATCTATGGATGAAGAGCATTTTTGTTGTTGTTCATTTGTTTATTTCAGTACTGGGGCTTGAACTTAGGCCTGGACTGTCCCTTAGCTTGCTCATTCAAGGCTAGTGCTCTACCTTTTGAATCACTTCCAGTTCTTTTGGTGTTAATTGGAACTAAGAGTCTCATGAAGTTTTCTGCCCAGGTTGGCTATGATAGTCAAATCTCAGCCTCCCGTGTAGCTAGGACTTGAGGCGTGAGTCATTGGAACCTGGCTGGATGCAGAGTTTGGACTCCCAAAGTCATGGGTCTGTTAACCAAGTAGAGGTAGAAGAGACTGTACATATGTGTTCAGGACCAGATATGAAGTATTTTCTGAGTTTTAGGGATGTGTACTTGTCATTTGCTTTGCGTAAAAGTAATGCTTGGAAAATAGGAGAGAGCCTCGGAGCCCAAGTTTCTCCTATTTTTTGAAGTGACTTTTAAAATTTTGTTCCGCATTATAAGTTCAAAGTTAATGTTATATGTAGTTAAGTCTTAACAGTAGGACTGCCCTGTCTTCTTGGTTCTTTAGAGTTAATTGTCAGAAGAGACATGTTCAATGCTAATAGTCAATGAATTCTCTTCTTGGAAGAGGATTTAAGTACATATATGTATGTGTTTGTATGTGGAAAATACTGATACAAAGAGTCTTGGTTGTGCTGTTTAGCTGTGTGGCCTTGAAATAAACCCTTTGCTCTTGAGTATCAGTCTACCCATCTCTGAAGGATGTCTCCTTCCTCCCAGGGGATGTATAGAAATCAAATGAAAGAATATAGATGGAACTCTTTGGAAACAGAAAAATACTATATGTACATAGAATCATCAAGAAGGAATAGCTTATTAGCTTCAGTAAGAAGTTCAGAGATACTAATTGCCTATGGAAATTTGCCCGTATGAGACAGAAATGGGCCTTGTCTGTGTACAGACCTGATCCAAGTGAGAAAACACATGATCTTAGGATCTGGAGCAAAAAAATTGGAGAAGTTTAACCTTTTTTTTTTTTTTTGACAACCCTGGAACTTGAACTCAGGACATGGGAGCTATCCCTGAGCTTTTTCAATCAAGGATAGCACTTTACCACTTTATAGATCCAAATTCAGCTTTTTTGGTGGTTAATTGGAGATAAGAGTCTCATAGTCTTTCCTGCCTGGGCTGGCTTTAAACTGTGATCCTCAGATCTCAGCCTCCTGAGTAGCTAGGTTTACAGGTGTAAGCCATTCTCACCCAGCTATTCTTTTCTTTTTTTCTTTTATATTGGGTCCGGTTGTGGGGTCTGAACTCTGGGCCTGGGCGCTGTCCCTCAGCTCTTCTGCTCAAGGCTAGCACTCTACTACTTGAGCCACAGCGCCACTTCCAGCTTTTTTTTTTCCTGCTTATGTGGTGCTGAGGAATCGAACCCAGGGCCTCATGCATGCAAGGCAAGTGCTCTACTGTTGAGCCACCTTCCCAGCCCCTATTCTTTTCTTTTCATGTTTAGAAGAACTTATTTAAAATTTTTGTATGTTTTCATCGTTTTCAGCATAATTTGTTCATAGGATTGTTTTAAGGCTAAACTGTTGAACTTTTACATTTGTGTAGAGATTATTTATATTTGTATTTCAGCTCAAAAATATTTTTATTACCCTTAAGTAGTTATACAAAGGGTTTGACATTCAACAAAGCAATTTATGAATACATTGCATCTTGATCAGTCACCTGAGCATTTTACCTTATTGGAAATGTCCTGCAAGTAATGTATTAGTATTTGTTTTGGTTGTAACATTTACCTTCTGATATTCACTTGCCTTATATATACATATATATGTGTGTGTGTGTGAATATATATATATATATGTATGTATATATATCCTCATGGGCTGGAGGCATTGGTCAAGTAGTAGAACACATGCCTAGAAAGCAGGAGGTCCTGAGTTCAAACTCCAGAACCTCAAAAACTTTCTATCTATCTATCTATCTATCTATCTATCTATCTATCTATCTATCTATCTCTCTATCATCTCACATGACAGATTCATAGTTAGCATATTCTTTTGGTCAGTGGTTTCTCTAGCCAGATAAATGATTAAATTATTTGTATGTTTATGGCTCTATACAAATGGTATGGAAAAGTCTCCTACCTTGTATGCATGTGTGAATATATGTATATATTCACTTATATATGTATATATAAGTACGTATGCATGCTTGATTTGCATGCATAAGAGAGAGATACACAACAGGTAAATTAAAATTTTAAGGCTACAATTTTTTATTTCTTCAGAAGGAAGAAAGCTAAATGGTCAGGCAGTTTGCTTAAAAAAAGTTAGTTTGAAACTAAATTGTCATCTTACACTTTCTACAGCGAAGATTACCAAGAAATGCTGCCAGCCTATGGTTTTATTAACATATTTATCCCATTGCGTTATGGGTGGTAAACTTGACAAATATGGGAAAGCATAGTTGTGACTAAATTAAAATAATAGATTTCTGCCCCTGGTTATCCCATTTCATTTTATTATATTAGCCGGCCAAATTCACATACCGTATACAGGAGTAGGATATGATTGTAAACGCAGGGAGTGGAAAGCCCGGAGACAGCGCCAGGCAACTGCTTTTGAGGGCTGCTGTTTTTCTAATCTGTTCTCCTCCCGGCAGAGGAGGTGGTAAGAGCAGACCTTAAAAGAATGTTCCTTCTATCCAGAGGCAGGAAGTCAACCTGCAGATCCTGCAGGCTGACAATTTTATACATTACCTAAAGAGTAGCAGGGTGTTCAATTCAAGGAGCAAACATTTTTTTCTTTCTTTCCTTTTTTTTTTTTTTTCAATACTTAGCATGGTCCACATTTATCCTTAAGTTGAATTTGTTTCCTAGTACTTTTTTTTTTCTTTGAAATGCAGCCGGTGATCAGAAAATTCCCCAGTCTCTGGAAGAGAGATTTATTAGCGCTGGCACAGGGGAGAAGCTCATGGCTGGCTGTTGTCTGTATGCAGCAGAATCACAAAGACAGAGTTTATTACTATTTCAGACTCAAACTTCAGTGGAATCTCAGCTCACACTATTAGTTTGATTACATTGTTGTTGTTTTTTAACCCCCGGTGTTGTTTTTAAAGTAGACAGACTCAAAGTGATTAGCAAAACCTACAACCCGTGAATGTCATTTGCCCCCCCCCCCCTCCCCACCTCCCTCCCCTTAAGACATACAGGAAAACCAGTTTTTGCAGACTTCTAAATGATAATGCTCATTTCGATTTGGAGATGAATCACAAATGAATGAAATAATAGTTTGAGAACAATATGGTTCTTTCTAAATTTTTTTTTTGAAGTATTGTTTCTGGGCTATGGAAAGTATGACTTTTCAGAATTTCCTTTGTTCCAGTTGCCATAGCAACTTGCCATTGTCCCAGCCATGAATGACTTTCTACACATCCCATCAAGCTAATGCAATTGACATTTTGCTCCAGTGAAGTTTTTAGCATATCACAGGAATTCTGCATTACATTGGGTGACATGGGGTTTCTCCAAGATGGGCAGAACAAGGCCGCTATGTCTTTGGAGCCTTAATGCTGTCTCTTAATTTGAAAATTCATGCACTCTGGATAGAAATCTCTTGAGTTGCCTGGAAACGTTAGTGTCTCTGTTGACCAGTAATTCATAGTTCCTTGCTCTGTGAGTTAATTGTTCAATCAAAGAAGAGTCAAAAATCAAATTGAAGGGTAATAATTATGGAAGACTTTTTAATTTTTTTTTTGTGTGTGTGCAGGATCCAAAGTTGAGCTGTAATTTAATTATGAAGGGGCTGTTAAGAGTTTCAGGACTACTTAAAGTAATTGAATTAACTTATCAATGGTGAACTTTGTCCTTTGCAAGCATAGCTCTATTCATTGGTTGGAAATTGAGTAGATTTCCACAGAAGCAGGTCTTCTGTTGTCTACTGGAGAAAGTTGGATGTTTTTGAGGCTGAGCTCTTACGGAAAAGACAAATTGACTTAGGAGAGAGTTTACATTACATTTTCAATTTAACTTCTATTTTTGAAAGTGGTATGTGAAAGTCAGTGAAAGCTGGCTGGAACAATCCATAAGATGAAATTCAGTTTCATTTCACAATGATTAATTTTTCAGTTATCATCCTTGGCTAATTTGTATTATAATGATATTTGAATTGGACGGCCATTTGCTTTTCAGAGGGCAAATGGAAACGGGCTAAGGGAACATAGGAAAGTTACTTAAATGAGGCGTTATTAGTTCTTTGGCCTAGGATGTGGAAAAAAAAGGGGGATATAAATCAACCTCTTGCGGATGTTCAGATTATGAGAAACACACCTGGCTGAATGAATCCCAAGGCAGCAGGAGAGATACATG